TTTGATCATTTTAAGTTTTTTTCTTTTGCTGGGTTTAAATTTTGAGTTAATATTTTGATTTATTTGCACAAATGCAGGTGAGTCGTAAGAATCTAACTCAAAAAGAAGATAAACAACTTTGTTTTTGTTGTTCCAAGTCCATGCTGCTGGAAACCGATGTGCGCATGCGCAGACTGTAGCAGGTGCTAGCTGGCTAAAACKTTATTTTAAAACGTTTTATTGAAAGCAGATGTGACTGTGACGTGCAAGACGACTCTTTTGAAATGTATGCGTACGAAGTGTACCACTGCAACTATTTATTTTCGGTACTTAAAACGGTTGTGTCGAAGTTTTGTAACATGTTAGCATGTCGACGCTAATTAGCTAGCTGTGAGAGCTTACCGGATACTTTGATGCTGCTCTCGGTCCGGCCCGGTAGCGCAGTCTCCGGAGTTGGCATCTGGGCTTTTGTGGCCATGTCTCCCATCCTACCGTTGACAAAATGACACCAAACCAACCGGAGCCTGGAGGAAGATGAGACCATTGAGCACCAGTTATGTGCAGATCGATACTGAAATATCGATACTACCGATACCGGAACTTCATGCTCTAGAATCGATACTAAAATCAGGGTATCGATACCTTGATAATTCAGTTATAAGAAATATCATTAACAGGAAAGTAGAGGAAAATAACTGAGCTGTTCAAATCTTGTTTAAATCGTATGTGGTTGGAGGGAACTACTTTTTCTTCCGCTTGGGTAACGCATCAGCAAAGTGACACACACTTAGTCAGTCACTCAGTCTATGTGTATGGCAGGTCATTTTAACATAAAATCTTCTTCGTCTAACTGTAATTAAATTCTAAATGAGGTTACAACTTTTAAATAGTTTTTTTTCTCACTTTTAGTCCCTATTTAAAAACTATTATATTTCCTTAGAATAAGAATTTAAATTTGTGCTAAACAAATATAGGGTTAGGGTTAGAAAGACTTTTAAATCAATAAATGTAGTACTATGTCATGTTATATTTATAAAGCGGTTAGTTTAAAAAAACGCTACTTTTTAAGATTTACCAGACACATTGGCTGTGTCCAAAACGACAGGCCGGGTCCTCCGGAGGACCCAGACTCCCCGGTCGAGGTGGGCCGGGTCCTTGGTAGACCGGGAAGACCGGGAAAAAAGAGGCTGTGAATTTGGARGGTCTAGCCTCCCCTCCTTACCCCGGCGTACGTCTTGTCACCTAGCAACTGTGACGATGCTAAACAAGCAAACTTAAATCAAAACTAGAAAAATATCGATWCATTAGCATTATTAATATCACAAAACTATAAAATTAACTTAAAGGTATCATTTGAAGAACTAATTGACCCGCTGTAGGTTCATGTTTATTTCGCGTTTTTTATGACGAAAAAATAATATGTAAAAACACGTCTATACAAATGATAAAAGTATTAGAATTACAACCGCTCATTTTTTTTTAATTTTTATATCATCATATTTTTATCTAAAATGCATTTTTTTTCTCTCGCTTCGTCCGCCATTACTAGCATAAAAAAATCTCCGGTCGGGCCGCAATGCATTATGGGATATGCTGGGCCGGGAAGGATCCATCYGACCTGTCCTTCGATTCGGGCCAAAGGAAGGACGTATTTGTCGGCCGCATCAGAGGAGTCTTCGGTTTTGGACGTCCTTCGTCGCGGCGCTGTGACGTATGCGGCCGACAAATTCGACCTTCGGAGGACCTGACCTGCCGTTTTGGACACAGCCCTTATGTGTGTTATCACAAAGTATCAGTATTGGGTCAGTATCGTTGATACCAGGCAAATTTTACTTAGTATCAGTATCAGAAAGAAAACTGGCAGTGTCGAACTTCACTAGCTGCAGCTGTTCAAACTCCGGCTTTGCAGTCAGGAGCTCTGTTAGCATGGTTAGCTCAGTTAGCTTAGCTACATAACAGCTCTGTTAGCGTGGTTAGCTCAGTTAGCTTAGCTACATAACAGCTCTGTTAGCATGGTTAGCTCAGTTAGCTTAGTTATATAACAGCTGATAGCATGGTTAGCTCAGTTAGCTTAGCTATATATTAGTACTCTTAGCATGGTTAGCTCAGTTAGCTTAGCTACATAACAGTTCTGTTAGCATGGTTAGCTCAGTTAGCTTAGCTGCATAACAGCTCTGTTAGCATGGTTAGCTCAGTTAGCTTAGCTACACAACAGCACTGTTAGCATGGTTAGCTCAGTTAGCTTAGCTACATAGCAGCTCTGTTAGCATGGTTAGCTCAGTTAGCTTAGCTACATAACAGCACTGTTAGCATGGTTAGCTCAGTTAGCTTAGCTACATAACAGCCTTGCGTAAACTCAGGACAGGTGTTGCGCAACAGTGACTTTGAACAAAATTACATGACTTTAAATGCCGAATATAAATGTTCATCTCAAGGTGCCGCAGCATTGTATTTATGACACAGTTTCAGTAGTTATTAATAAACATGTTCAGCTTTTATTTTTGTGTTTTTCAGCCTTTTTGTGTATTTTAATGCTTGGTTTAGGTCATATTTTAGTTACAACACATATAAAACAGTTTGTATCACTTAAAATGATCGATCACTTGTCTGAGCATCTTCTTACCATATTAGGAAGAATGTATACTGTATATACCTTGACAAAATTTATGATACATCTGTGAAGCCTATAAAGAGCCTTGTACGCCCCCACCCTTGGCCTTCATTCTCCATCTTTCTTACTTGGTGAATCATTTGGCATTGAAGGCCATAATTTGATTTTTGACTGTAATCTCATGGACTGCAAAATAAAGATTCTTGCTGTTCAACCAGCCTGTTTCAGAGTTTCTCTCTTCATTGAGCAACAGCTGTTCCACTTCAACCAGAAGACGTATTTTTTTCACCTCACAGGTATCCTGAATCATGTTGCTGAGTGATGATGGGATGGAGCTGGAGGTGGATCAATGCATCAGGGCTTCATCTTAAGTAATGAGGACGTCGTTTTGGTCAGTCTTGGTGAAGAAACAAAGCCAAAGCTCTGTGTTTGTGGTCTGTCTTTGTTCCAGTCATAGTTAGATCACGAAGAACCAGATCCTGGATGCAAGCAGTGTTGTATAAAGTACCTCAATGTGATACTTGAGTAAAAGTACAAGTACCTTATCATAAAAATATTTTGTCTTCTCTAAAAATATTACTTGAGTAAAAGTCTTAAAGTATCTGATATTTTTTGTACTTAAGTATCAAAAGTAAATTTCACAAAATCTACTTAAGTATTAAAAGTAAAAGTACTGAGTAAAAGTGAGCAGTTAGATTTTCCAAAATGACATTTATTGAGAGGTGACTTCTCCAAAAATATATATTTTCTAACAGCGTGCAGCAGTGATGGACTGTGTACAAACTAATGTCAGAATAGTAAATATTTATACTTCACATCCAACCAGAATTAAATTCACGATCCAGGAGACAATTCATCAGGTTAGTATTTTTTTTAAGTAAAAACAACTCGGAATAAAACAGAAGTAACGACTTTGTACTTCTTACCTTTTTAAAAAATGTAGTGAGTAGAAAGTACAGATAATTGTGTAAAAAAACGTAATGAGTAAAAGTAAAAAGTACGCTGAAAAATAATTACTCCAGTAAAGTACAAATAACCAAAATTTCTAAGTACAGTAACAAAGTATTTGTATTTAGTTACTTTACAACTCTGGATACAAACAGCTGAAATGAATCTTAGCCTGGAAATTGTTCTTATTTCAACAAGTAATTATCTTATTTCACTTAATTTGATAA